CAGGTAAGCTTAGCCTTTGCCAATTTTTTTTTTTAATCATTACAGTACCGATACATTATAAAACGTATTGTACTGTATTATATATGAAGGATACAGGTATTAATAAGCGCAGATTATTACAGTAAACATATCTTTATTAGTAAATAAAACACGAAGTAAAACTTTTTACAATGGTAATGGCAGGCCTGAGGAGATGACGAGGAACCTTTTGGAGGGTGTGCGGTCAGTTTTTCCCCTCCCTCCCTCCTTCATTACTCCTTACTTTTATCCTCTTCGCCACTGATCGGTTTGTTAGCTGCCCGGGTGATCGGTCACGTCTCTGTCACGCACTGTTGGCAAATACTGGGCACCGGCTCCTGAATGTATCTGAACCTGCTCCAGTGTTGGTCAAGTCTTGTCTTGAAAGAGCTCACACTCTGTGCCATCACAATACTCTATGGTAGATTGTTCCAAGAGTTTACAACCCTCACTCCGAAAAAGTTTGCCCTCACAGTTTTTTGGACTTGCAGCTTCTTCAATCTTGAGCTGTGACCCCTTGTGGGGCGAGCGTCCGCCAGCTCCAAGTAAGGACGCTCAACTGAATAGTGCCTCCTGAGATGCTTATACACCTGAACTAGGTCCCCCCTTGCCCATCTGTAGTATAAGCTAGGCAAGTTCAGGCGCTCCAATCTCTCAGGGTAGCTGAGGTGCCGAAGTGCAGGCACCAGTCTGGTGGCCCTCCTTTGAACATTTTCCACCAACTGACAGTCCCTAGCATATCTTGGGGACCAGATGGGGTGACAGTACTCCAGATGGGGAAGCACTTCACTCCTGAAGATCGTTACGAGGGACGGACCGTCTAGATATCTGAACGACCTTCTTATAAGACCCAATAATTTATTTGCCTGATTTACCTTCTTCTCGCAATGGCCCGAGAACTTCAGCTCATTGTCAACATACACACCTAGGTCCTTCTCTCATACAGTCTCAACTAGTGCAGTTTGTTCATCCTGTTGGGACATATGATACGCCTCCTTACCGTTGGTACGCCCCAGGTGCAGCCTCTTACACTTCGTGACATTGAATCTCAGCAGCCATTTCTTCGACCATTCCTGGAGCCCACAGAGGTCCTTCTGCAGTTCTTCACAGTCCGCTTGGTTCTTAATTTCCCGAAATAATTTGGCGTCATTGGCAAACATTTGTATGGAGGAGTGTACGACGTCAGGCATGTCATTTATGAAACAAACAAACAACAGCGGGCCCAATACACTGCCCTGTGGTACCCCACTTGTGACAGGTACAGATGACGATTTCGTGCCATTAATCACCACACACTGCTTGCGGTCATGTAGAAAGTCTTCTGTCCACGCTAGGACATTTCCCCGAATTCCGTACCCTTCCAGTTTGATTTTCAGCCTTTCGTGGGGTACACTGTCGAAAGCCTTGGCAAAATCTAGGTAAATATTGTCTATATTACCACCCCATTCCAGAATATGGGTCCTTACTTAATTTTAAATGAAAGAAAACAATATATATTTTGTATAACGAACATCCTCATAAATTACCGACTCATGAATTATAGGAATAGAATATGAATTATACAGTACAGTATTAAGATACTGTACAAAACTAGATTTGGGTGTGTAGACTGGGGGAGGTGATGGTGGTAGAGGGAGGACAAGTGGACAACTTGCTGTACTGTATTAAGGTTCATTTTGGTTCTGTTGATGCCTTAACACAGCTTAAACGCTGTGTTGTAGGTTGATTTTGTCCTATGTACAGAAATTGTACAGTACTGCCCAACAAACTGGACAGGAGCGAGCAACAGATGAACCTTGTAGGGGGACTGGTGACAAAGAATAGCACGGAGGCTAGTCGGGGGGGGGGGGTTATATACAAGTTGCATCAGCCAATTACAGATGTCCCATGAGGTCACATGACAGCAATAGCCAATCATTGCGCGCGAGCCAACTACCTGAATTACCTCGAGCGTCTCAGCCTCCTGCCACCCACCTACAGAGGACCCGGGACTCGGGAGCAATATTACGTCATTTTTCTATACATGTTATAGTACATACAGTATTTAATATTTTATATTATCAATGATAAAACAAACATACATACACCATAAGTGGCTGATCATACGAGAATATATACAATAATAATAAATGTTGGAGGTGTGTGTATCGCTGTATTGGTATTAATAGCTACTAGGGCCCTTTCTCAAAATTTATAAAATACATTAATGAAAATGAATGGAAATTAGAAGTAATAGATTTATGAATTGCAAAAAGTTGGATGGTCCATCATTATTTTTATTTGTATTCTTTTCATAAATACTGCTTACATACATATATTTTTAAAAAATCCCTGAAATTCTCTTGATTTTATACCGTATTACTCATTAATGAGTCATCCATCATGCCACAAGTTGACTTGTTTAGAATATAAGTAAATAAGGAGTCTGCAGTAGGCCTGTTGGCCTGTGCATGGCAGCTCCTGTCGAGAGTTACTACCACTCTATCAGCTATGAATCTATCTAGCCTCCTTTTAAAACTTTCCAGCATTCCAGCACTTACTACAAAGTTGCTAAGCTTGTTCCACTCATCTACCACCCTATTTGTGAACCAGTTCCTTCCTATCTCCCTCCTAAACCTAAACTTATCCAACTTAAATCCGTTGCTACCAGTCTTATCCTGCTCGGATATTATGAGAACTTTATCTATATCTTCTTTATTGATTCCTTTCACCCACTTAAATACTTCTATCATATCTCCCCGCACTCTTCGTCTTTCTAGGGAATGCAAGTTTAGTTTCTTTAATCTATCTTGATATGGAAGGTTTCTAAGTCTCGGAATCATTTTCGTCATTCTTTGCTGCACCGACTCCAGTGAATTGATATCCATTCTATAATAAGGGCACCAGAACTGAACAGCATAATCGAGGTGCGGCCTGACTAGCGCAAGATATAGTTGCAATATGACCTACGCACTCTTATTACTTACACTTCTAGATATAAAACCTAATACAGTACTCTGTTTGCCTTATTTCGAATATTAGCACACTGTTTTCTAGGCCGTAAGTCCGGGCTTACAAATACCTCTAAGTCTCTTTCACAAGTCGACTTCTCTAGGTTGATGTTGTTAAGGCTGTATACATTGACAGTATTTGTTCTTCCAATATTAAGTACGCTGCACTTACTGATGTTGAATTTCATTTGCCATTTTTCTGACCACTCCTGCAGTTTATTTAAATCCTCCTGTAGTGCATTTCAGGAACTATACACGTATGTGTAGTGATCTCTTGGTGAGGGAAGGGGTGCAGTCGGTATCTCCAACCATATGGACAGGACTGATTCCCGTCAGCTTCCAGTTGCCATTTAGGGATTTTTCCAAAGCAATTGTCCAATAGTATTTTGGATGAAATGAGAGGGTATTAGAGCTTATTCTTATTGTATTAATTTTGTGTACATTAAAGCCTTGACTAACGATGGTTGTAGATGTACATTAGTAAAATTAATGTAAAAAATACTGTATGTATCTTTTAATTAATATTATGTAATGTATGTACAATAGAAGTGATCAATGAATTGGGAGAGAAAAAAGTGAGACTGTACGGGAGGCCAACATATGTACGTATGCACTCGTGAAAACAGTGTCATTTATCTTATGTACACACACACACACACACACACACACTCCACAGACAGACACAACCACACAGACACACACAGTGAATTAATTGTTTGGGGGGGGGGAGGGGGGGGTCGCGGTCACTTTTACCCTCAATAGATTTTTTTTTTAGAGTGCCCCCGAGGGGGCTAGTTTATTGGGCACCCCCTTACATCCTGTGCAAGGTGAAGCGCAGAAGCGTTTACAGCGCCCATCTGGGAAGCATGCAGAGTTTATGCTTGCCTTTATGACTTGTGCATTAATAGACCCTTCTCCTCCGGCTGGGGGGAGGTGGGTAGGTTAACACATACAGTGCTTAGGGATAAAACAGGTTGTGATAATTTATGTGGTTGCAGTTTCAAACATTTGTGACATCACTCATGTATAATAAGTCTCCATATGCCCTGGTTTATTCATTGATCAGTTGTCTAAGTACAGAAGTAGTCCTGTTGAGCTATTATGTATCAATTAATTTTAAAATAGAAATTATAATGTAAAATTTTATAAGACAATGGTTTAGTAGGGCTGTTAATGTGTGTGCTGTGTAAATGTCATGGCATGTCACCTCACCACCTGACTCCTGAACAAACTCTTCATCAACTTCTTCAAATCCTACAATGTGCTTGGCAAGCTAAAAAAAACACACACACACACACACACACACACACACACAAGAATTAAGACAAGAATCATCCAGTGAGGGTCTTGTTGTGTGACTGCATGGAGGTGAATTAAAAGATCAGTGTTGAGGAGCTTATCGCTTGGCAACACTGGTGCATGTTACCACTCCTTTCCACTCCATCTCTCTAATCACCCACACCTTCTGCTTTCTCACTTATACTTATCACAATCTCTCTAAAATACTTTGGGTTTTGTGTTTATTCAAGACATCTTCAGGTCATGAGACTCATTAATCCCTCCCCAAGAAAGGGTGACCTGACATTCCATCAGAAAGTCAGTAATATGAGACCACTAATCCCCCACCCTATCTCCACCTGACATTGAGTCAGGTCTGGTCCCTCCCCAAAATACTTGAGCTTTCATCTTTATTCAAGACATTTTCATAAAATGCTCTCGAATTTCGACCTCGGAAAATTTGTTCCCAAAGTCGGATTTTTTTTTTTATTCCAGCTTTGGGAATGCTTTTCCGAGCAAATTTAAATTCCGGCTATCGGAGAGTTCCGGGTTTGAGGGTTTCTTGCGAATGGGGATATTACTGTAGATACCTTGTCACTGAGGGATTTCAAAAAACACAACAGAATTTATTTATTGCATTGATAATTTTTCTTCTTCACATTTCTATTTATAGTTAAATAATACAGATGTTTTGTATATTTTCTTCTCTTACAGCTCCTATTCAATGATGAGCTTCTGCAGCACCCAGGTATGTATCGTCTTGTTTACTACTCTGGGAAGTACTACTCTTACCTGGGTATGAGTGACCCATTCCCTGTCCTCGCCCAGTCCTAGTGGCTCTGGGGGTCACTCTCGTTTGAGATGACGTTGTCTCGAGCCATGGACCCGAGTCTGGATTCTCGAAGATTCACACGTTTCTCCACCCCCCACTCCCCTCATAGCTGGGGTAGTGGAGAAAATGTCTGGGTAGGGTAGAGTAGAGAGTTTCAGTGCCATACTCACATCATTTACACCCTTCCCCTCCTATATATTCTACTGGATAAATTAAATGTACAAATCTTTGAGAATCTGGGCCCAGTCGTCCATACATTTAGCCTTGTTTGTAGTTAAGACAAAAAGTGTGCTAAGGACTCTGGTTTACTCCCTAATGGTGGATCACAGAGTAGAGTGCGGTATATATTTCTACTTGCACGTGACAAGTATTTTTAAGATGATTCAGTGGGATCAAGACGATTATTACTAACCTGTGGGCCAGTGCTGTTGGGGGTCCTTGTCCAGGCTATAATTCTAATATGTTCCACTCTACTGCACCTAGAGGGTGTCTCTCACTCATCTAGTAATCTGTTCACCATTATCAGGTTACCTACCTGCCATCCTACTCTTGTGTACGGATGTTATTTTTTTAAAGTTATTTGAAGTGGTTAATGTGTTTTATTTTATTTTACCAATTTAAATAATGCTAGAAAAGCATTAGTGTTGGATTTTAGCACAAGTAGATCACCTCATCCCTGCATTACCAATATCAAGTGTAATTGATAAAGTGCACTGTACCTTGTGATGGTGTAGTACTTGTGTCTTTGATGGAGAAGTATTTTTTTTAATTACTCTTCATATATTTTAGTTACCATATCCTGCTGTCAGGACTGTGTGATGTACAGTTTATTAATGCTGTCTGAAATTCTGACCAACCACTCTTTTATGTGACCTAAAACATAATGATCCAGTTAATGTGAAAAGAGTAAGATGATAGCACTTAGGGACAAACAAGACCAACCAGTTTATTATTTGTTAATATAAATCACAATATGTAACAGTAACTGTAATTACAATTTAAATGAAGGGTTTTTCTTAAACTCTTTAGTGGAACGATTTGTATGACCTTAATCTGGTGTTGAGAAAGTTCACTTCCATTATTATTGATTCATATATTTGTGTTATAGTAAACTGGTGAAGAAGTTCATCTTAGGGAGTTGACTGCATGATAATTGGCAGTTAAGAGTGAGAGGTTCTCAATGACACTTGACCTATGGTAGTTTTGAACACCATGAAAAGACAAGAATTTGCAGTGTTTCTTTTATTATTATTCTGATTTATTACTGAGTTTTTGTTAATATTGTACAAATATTAAGAGATTTATTTTACCAAATGTTATTTACTGTGACAAGTCCAGTCACTTATAGAAAGATCTTAGCCCTTGATCTTAAAGGGAAGCATTTAAATACACATTGTTATTCTTTTAATAGTGTAGTACAGTACTGTTAAGGGATCACCGTTGATACAAACTAAATAGGTGGGAGCCAAGGACGACATGTCATTTTACGGCAACACTCACCCGCATGTTTGTCACTCAATAAACCACCATGACAGGTGAGGCTGGGGATAAATTCTGCTGTAATTTGAAGTACAGTAATTGTTAGTAATTTGTTAGCATCATTAAATTTATATAATCCCATGAAAACATAATTTGGCTAAATTAAGTTAGTTTGAAGTGTATGAGGCAAGAATTTTACCATGAAGTACAATATTTTCTCGATTTAACGAACTAATTTGAGCCACCCCTGTTCGTTAAATTGAAATTTCCACTAAATCGACCTTTCCGTTACGTTCGCACGATTTACCGAACTATTTCACTAAAGCGAGTGTGATTCCATTAAATTCCGTACCGAACACGCCTCGCGCCGCTTGGCTTGTGGGGTTTGTTTACATATACTCAGTATGTGTTCTGTCGCCACCACATGTGCTGTTCACTGCTCTTGTAACTCTCCTCCCTCCCTGCCATATTTCACTGGGTTTACTGTTATTATTAGTGTTTTCTGATATAATACTGCTTAACCCATAAAAGGTCACATTATTATACATACATGGTACCCTCCCTGGTCGGGAAATATCAAAATTTTGTTTTATGGCTCAAACACCCCAAAATGACCTAAGAAAACAAGAAATACTAGTAAAGATGGCAACTTGCCTCATTTAAAGTGCTGCATGGCATTTAAATCCTCCCTCCCAGTGCTCTCACAGTACTTCCAGTCAGTCTTGCAGTCATGTATATACCGGTACAAAATTAATTTTTTTTTAACACGCAAAAAAAAAATATGAATATAGCAGCATAGCAAATGAAACTAATAAAAAGATATATGAAATAAACTTAAGGATGTTTTTTATTACAAGCGGCATGCTGCACACTCGAGGCTTGGGGAGGTATTTTCCTTACATTTTTACTAATATTATTCACTTATATTATACAGTACTCAGATTACTATGGCAATATGCAGTGTAGGAGGGAGGAAGAAGTGTGGGAGGCAGTGTGAATTATTTGGGATTATTTGTAAGCGTGAAATTAATGAAAATATGTAATAACTTGATACAACTTATATTTGAAAGACAGAGACTGCGCATTTGTCCCGTCGTGTACAGTATTTACCTCAGACAGGGCCCAGAGACAGAGCCAGCCTTCTCACTAAAAGGAAATGATATAGTAACGAAGACCAGCTGTGACGCAGATTCCCTAGTAATGCTCCCTCCCCCTACAGCAGTGGTCCCCAACCTTTTGTAGACTCTGGGCCACATTTATCATTGTAAATGTAGTGGAGGGCACCAAAACTTTGGATCTACATTCACTATGGTGAAATGGAGTGTATGCAAATGGCGACTGTGTTAAACTTTCATTTGGCTTTCATTTACTGATTTGGCAATATACTGTACAGTATTTTTTAGTTGGTATTAATATTTTTTTTATGCCTCACATTTCCTGGTACTATATACTATATGATTTTAAGAAAACTATGGCCACAGGAGGAAAATACACACACACAAAAAAATTCCTTATTACTCCCTGCTAAAGTAGGGGGTGCATCTTTTATTGTACATTTTATAGCATTACTTATCGTTTTTATACTTTTAATACTTTTGCTGTGGGCTGAAGTAGGTTTTACTGTATCATTTGTCTGAGGTGTCTCGACTTAGCGAACTAGAATACTAAATCGAGCGAAAAATAACGGAAAAAATGCCTTCCGCTAAATCAAGAGTTCGTTATATCGGTTTCCTTAAGGTGATAATTTAGTAACATGGTGATCCCGTTTATATAAATTAAGAAAATGAATTACTAGCTATGTTATATGTTGGTAATGTTCTCGGCACTTGTTGTCATCTATGGATTACTGGACTGAATGACTGAATTTACCCACAATAGGGTTCACATATTGATGAGAGGAAACACTATGTCATAGATAAACCTCATGTACAAGTTACTGGGGAATTGACAGAGTTTGGCAATCAGGTCTTTGTAAAATTGAGCTTCGAACCTTAATTTCACGTATGATAATGACTGTATGAAGGATCAGAAGCATTAACCCCTCATGTTTGGGATCCCCTCTGTGCTGAATAAGATCATCTAGCATTAGTCAAGTAAAATATTAAAAATGGGTTCTCCATAGTGAAGGGGTTAATGTAATCCTTTTTACTTCAATTTTCATAGTTGGATTAATTATTAGTTTTAAATACTGTACTTCCACAATATTTTAAGTGAATTGTCATTGAGTGAGCAGAAGTCATCAGACAAGTCAAGGTTTCTAAGATAATTTTTTATCATTATGACCCTCACTTAACTCTTACGTTGAGGTCGTAATCATTTACGGGATGAACTCAATATTGCTGTGTTTGATGTAAAACCAATGTGCCTAAGAACTACTCAGTCATTCACACCGTTATGGGTTTTAAATAGGGTTTCTTACTGCAGCATCACAGCAATATCTAAAATTTATATTACAGTACAGGTGCTCCTCTACTTACGAACGAGTTACGTTCCTGAGGCTTGTTTGTAAGTCCAACTTTACTCTTGTAGATACCAAACATATTGTAAAAAATGAAAAGATTATGGATATTTAGTACAGCTATACCCTTTAATACAGCCTTAAAACCTGGCTCACTCTTCTTCTCTTAGGTAATGTTTGTTCCATCTGGAATTTTCTTCACAATAATCCAGTCTCATCCACATTAAACACCTGTTCTGGCAGGTAACCCCCCCCCTCAGTGATGATGTTTGTATTTCTGAAAGTTTGTAAGTTGAACGGTCTTAAGTAGAGGAGCACCTGTATATTCGAGATTTAACGCTAGAGGTTGTCGATGATCTCCAGTAGGTCAAAATGTTTGTATTAAAAGTATGTCAAAGTGTTATGAATTAAATGTATGCTGTAATGGAAATTCAGTCAACAGGGATATCAATTGATGAAGAGTAAGTATATATGGTGAATAGACTTTATAAAGACTTTACTTTTGACAAATTTCTAGAGAACAGTATGGGAAAGAGTGATAAAAATAGGAGGGGTGGGGCTTGTATCTGTATTCTAAAATGAGCAGTAATATTTTGCTGATATTCAGGCCATTCAGGGAAATTTTATCAGATGAATCTTCCTTTGTAATCACAGTGAATTCATTGAAAGTATGAGGTCTGAAGAAGCTGGCTAACTGTGTTTCTCACTGTTGCTTATGTCCTGCTAAAATTGTCTAGATCAAATATTTCTGTGTTATCGCCTTATTCTGTAATTCTTTCAATATTCAGTACCTTTCATTCCTGAAACATATTATTTGTGTCCAACACTAATGCATTGTCAAAATCAGATACCTGGTCTCGTGCACAATGTACAGTACTGTACAGGTGCTCCTCTACTTACGAACGAGTTACGTTCTTGAGGCTTGCTTGTAAGTCCAACTTTACTCTTGTAGATACCAAACATATTGTAAAAAATGAAAAGATTATGAATATTTAGTACAGCTATACCCTTTAATACAGCCTTAAAACCTGGCTCACTCTTCTCCTCTTAGGTAATGTTTGTTCTGTCTGGAATTTTCTTCAAAATAATCCAGTCTCATCCTTATTAAACACCTGTTCTGGCAGGTAACCCCTGTCAGTGATGATGTTTGTATCTTGGAAAGTTTGTAAGTTGAACGGTCTTGAGTAGAGGAGCACCTGTACTCACACGAGTTGTGGGTCACCTTACCACCTGCACTGTTGACTCACTTTCAGAAACTTGGCGCATTTAATTTCTGTTCTCTGTTGGTATAACCGTTACCTGCCTCTTCATCAGAATTTGGACCGCTGTACCCACATTCCCAAAATGGTAGATGCATGTTGCTCTCCTCTGATGTGTACTTAGTAGCATAGTTGCATAGTTGGTAGTGTCTTGTGTGTAGACAGTGTTGATTTTGTTCACCGTTTTATTCACTTACTTTTCCCCCTATGTCAACCAGTGTAAGATGACAGTAGGACCAGTTGGATCTTACTTTAGGTTCAGTATCATATCAACATTCAGTGCAAAATTCAGATATCCAAGTTGGTATGTTAATGTAGAACAATGTAGACTTTAACAGATTTATACTAATACTGTACCTGTAGCAGACAATAGTAGTGTTTCGTAGCATTGGGTTTGATGCCTAGATAAGAGTGAATTATGCGTGTGGTGCACCGTGTGGCTACATTTTCAGAACTGTTGCGGGTCGAGGCTTCTACTGTAAAGTCTTACTGCAGGGTTTGTGGTAGGTAAGGGAGGCGGTAGTTCAATTTGATGCTGTTATATTTGGTTTTGAATGTTGAAACTGAAGAGCATTCAGGCTCTCCTGGTAGTCCTTCTTTAAGTAAATTTGTTTGTACTTAAAACAGTTATGCAGGTGAAAAAATCTTCATAAATTTGTTTGGCTGAATGTCTGGCAGCCATCAACCAGGAAGAATGTATGGGTTTGCTATTTCCATTATGATACTTAAAACATCTGTAATAAGAATTAGAAAGTTTTACAAATTCTGTAATAAATACTTCAGAATACTCAGAGCTCTTTAGTTAGTTAGTAAAGAAACAGCAAGGATTTTGTAGTGCGGTGATTACTGTCATGTTAGAGGAACTGTTCTATATATTAATGTGTATCTGTCAAGTTGTTAGCGTAAATAGTCCCAGGCAGCCCAGACTAGTTCTGGTTCCAGTACACAAAGTAACTAGAGCCTAACACAGCATGCTTAGGTAGAAGTTATGAAATACTTTATAATTTTCACATATCTTTGCATTATTCATCTGTAATGCCTAATGAAGATAAACATGATTAAAAACAGAGCAGTTCTTAGCTACCAACACAGTGTAGATAACTATGGGAAAGCAACTTCTAAAACCTGTAATCTCTGGTGTTGCCATTTATGGTAATAATTCAGTACACTATGTGGAAGCACTTACAAAGTCTGAAGTGTGTTCACTTATTTGTGTGATCTCATTCATTTGATTTGTCTTATATATACTGTATTTATTGTGTGTCACTTGGGATAAGATAAGAGGCAGAAAAATTATTAATTTGTAAATATTGTATAGCATGAAGAACACTAAAGTTGTTTGTGTGTTAAGCAGCAGGCAATGTAGCTGTGTGTGTGTGTTTATATGATGAGTGCTGACGTGACCTAACAGATGTGTGCAGTACAGAGCATGCTGTATGTGGAAGTAGATAAAGGAGTGTACAGGCCAATAATAACTACTTCAAGCCCATGTTTTATGTTAGGGCTGTCTTGTGTAATACAAGTTAAAAAAAAGCCTTACACTTTGCCTGTTAGATAATATATATTCCAAAGGTGTGTCTTTTTCCCTGCTTATTTAATAAGAGATTATGCTCTCAACAGTCCCTGTGGTCAACAGGAAAATACAGCCGTTATTGATAATGAATAATCTATTTATCTCGGTAGATTAATATAGCATTACAAATAATACGTCACGAGCAGGTCTCAAGGAGGGAGTTGCTGGAGGTCTTGCATTGTGCAAGGTAAGATGCAAAATCGGTTTCAGATCAGTCTTATGAAACTAGTCCATATAAAGTGGTATTAGGATCTTAAAGTTTTACCAACAAATGTGAATGGAAATATTACCTGTGCTGCATCACAGCAGTTTTCTTGTTACTTGACAAGTGTGCAACCCCCTCCTGCATGAAGTGTTCTGTATGTGTACAGTTGTTCTTTAACATAGTGTTTATCTTACCCTGTACAGTACTGTCATTCCATAGTGTTATATTATCCCTTTTAATTGGATGTGTTTAATATCTGGATGTATAATGAGAGAATGCCAAAGTTTTCTGCCTATAGTCAAATACTTTCTGGGTGAACAACATACATGGTTCGGTGATTCACTGCTATATAAATGTTTTGAGTTCATTTCAAGAATTCATTCACTGGTATTAGAAATCAAGGCTCAGCTCAGGTGTACTGTTGATTACTGGTATATTTTGTCGGTTTTTCATCTTTTGTATTGTATTAAAATTTTCATTTGCTTTCAGTACTTTGAGATGACTTGACCAATACAGTACAGTACAGCTACATGAAAGGTTTCTTTTCAGTATATAATAGATTTTCTAATTTTTGTTTATCCATTTCTTTCAACAACTGATATGGACCAACTGTGTCATAATAAGTTTATTAAGCTAGTTCATTAAATTAATTAATAAATAAAATGTCATTAGTGTTTTGTGGTGGAGGATGTTACTCTAGTTAACTCTTCTGCCACCTGTCCTGTATATTGTGCTCATTTGTAACTCATATTGTGGTTTTATTTTTCATGGATACTGAGCGGATGTGTACAGTATAAAATTTGGCTTAAATATATGGAAGGCAGTACCCATATCAACTTTTCTGTGCTTATTTTTTTATCCACATGATCCATGCATCAGCCTTCAACAAGATGATATCATTAAGGAGTTTCTTTGTAAATAATTCAACTCAGGAAATCTGCTGACTTGGTGATATAAAATAGATACTTACGATCTTTTGAGGATTAGAAAGATCGTAAGTTTGAATTCTCAACAGATTGTAAGTATCTACGTTTTGTGAAAGTAGATTATCAAATTTTGGGGTAATCTACTTTCCCAAAAAGTAGATACTTATGATCTTCTGAGAATTCGAACTTACGATCTTCATAATTCTCAAAAGATCACAAGTATCTAGGGTACTCGTAAGTTATTTTTTTCTCTTAAGTTCGAACTTGTAATCTTACTAATTCTCAACAGATCGTAAATATCTACTTGTTATTTTTTTAACTTAAGTTCGAACTTGCGATCTTTCTAATTCTCAAAAGATTGTAAGTATCTACTTGTTATTTCACAAAAATTAGATAATAATGCTAGGACTCATTTAATATATACTGTACCAAATTTGCTATTAATACTGTATAGTGTTAGGATCTTTTTGTTTATAGTTTTGGCCCAACTATAGGTTTCTGAGGTGCAATTTTGGCGTTTTTGAGTTATTCTGGAAGCCATTTATGTTAAACCCATTAAATTCCAATAGAAAACTGTATTTGCATTTTGCTCAAAATATTACTGAAGCTTACAGTTTTTGCCCAAAAGTTGATTTTGTTGAGCATGTTCGTTCTGAATCTGTGGTCTCAGATTTGATAGCGGTGTAATTCGTGATTGCAATGATTCTTGACAGATTTTAATGACATTTTTCTTAATGCTAATTACTGTAATTGCCAGCTATGGGTTTCCCAAAACTCCAATTCTAAGTGAAAAGTATTTTTCAGTCCAAATATTTAATAAGGAAATAACTGGAGAAAAAAAAAAATTAGGACATTTTTTTTATTATAAATCCTGTACAACAAATGACTTGCATCAGCTAAGCAGTACTGTAATTAGAATTCATGAAATGATGAAGCAAATTAACCAGAGAACATAATAATGTACTGGATAAATAACAGGGTACTGTAATGGCAACATTTCCCATGTAATCATTCTGCAATATACCATAAACACACAGCTCAACCGACACATTTTTATTGCATTGTTTAAATCACAGGTTGCATTGGCCTATAGAGGACTAGATTTTTTTTAGTATATTGTATAGATTACCTACATACGAGTTGAAATTTTGATGTTGATACTTCTGTGAAGAATTGGATGAATAACTAATTAATTTCACATTTTGAGGGTTCAGGTCAGTAGTAGGCATTGAAGACTGGCTCCAGTCACCTATCCAAACAATAATCCAATGGAATACTGTACCCGCAAACCAATGACCAACTGTTGCAACACAAGCACATAGCCCAATGAGAATTCTTTCTAGTCTCACTGATTACTGTGCACACATATGGTGTTTTCATTCTAATTTATTACCATTAACAACCCTTCTTATTTATCTATAATAACAACAGGGTTCTAGTCATAGTTCCAAAATGGAAGCCATTGGAGACCTGAAATTTTACACTACATGGATCCCCTTGGGTGGTCCAGTCAAGAATCAAAAATCTTTCCCAGCGATATATTGCCATGGTGATTTTAGGAGATGGACAATTTTGCTAGTTTTCAGTAAAAGTATCTTCACATTCCATGGCCAAACCCACACCCTCCTAAAATAAAAAAAATACTTTTCAGTGTCTTGACAATGGTTTAAAGTTGGCACAATACTGTTATTAGAACCTGTGCATGTCGAGACATTAATAGTACAGTATATATGCACCTAGAACTAAAGTCCTGCCAACTTTGAGCCATGAACTTGAACACGCACAGATAACACAGGTGTGCTGGGGAGGTACACATATCCCAGTACACTTGGATCATAGTACAGGTTTAAGCCAAGGAAAGTCATTTCTAGGCACTTAAGACACTATGAACGACTTCTTTACACTCACAGCCTCCAGCAACATCATTATGATAATTTTAACACCTTAAGAATGATTACAATATATTATCTGTAGTTTGTGTTACATGTATAATGCTAATCATGTAAGAGTCAAAAGACATCACTGTCTAAGAAATGAAGCCATTTATCTTCATTTACTGTACAGTTCCCAGCAAATTTATTCGACTACAGTATTGCATTACCTTTGACAAATTCCAAGACCAGTAAAATTTTAGTCTGGAATAACAATAAGGACACCAAAACACTTACAGACATATTAAGTTGAGCAACAACCTTGGTTCCTTTTACTTATCAAGCTAAATGACAAGATACTTTTTATTACATTCTACATTAATACAAAATGTAATTAAATACAAGTGAATGCCACATATATATGTAAAAGGCACAGAGTACAAGCACTATTTCAAGCACTCCAAGTAGAGGTGGCGAATGGTGAGGGAGACAAACACATAATGGGGAACTTTTAAGTCGAGGCAGTTTAAGTAATAGACAAAATGTTTAGTCATGACCACACATTACCATCGTACATAAGTCATGGCCACACACAAAATTACCATGGTATTATAGCCAGGGACACACACTGACAATATCACCATGATGGCCAGGCTCCAACTGAATAGTTAACTAATTTTCTGGAACTCGCCAAATTTATTTCTTTCGCATAAATTAAAACGAACTTAACTAGAATTGATTTCCAAATATTTTCCAAAACATTACTTCCTTACTACATACTGTATACTATTTACAACACACACACACACACACACTCTAGTTCAAGAAGACATAATAAAACATTACAAGTACATCAATATTTGTTCCAAGAAAGCTGTGGGATGATCTTTGGTCGGGGTGGTTTTGTCAGTCTTCATTGACAAACACTTGTGAATATCTACTAGCAGGTTTAATCAAGTGTTGCAAAAATTTTTTTTTTTTTTATAAACTTGCACAAACAATATCCCAATCGCCACCTCAATGTCCAAGCTTCTTTATATACACTCTCTCTCGACGGTCATTCTCCTTACTTGTGAATCGACTCTTTATGCATTAAACAAAAATTAATTACCAATTATTCTTCCATGAATTATTCACTGCTGTCACTTAAATATATATGTACACACCAAGTCTGACCACCAGCAGGCCAAATCTCTGCATTTGTCCACTTCATTATAACACTGGTGGGCTGGTCAAACTTTCAGGGGGCATTATTCTCAGGTGAACCAGTCAATGGCAAATTCAGATCTAATACAAAGCTTGCAATTAAATTCTAGATGGTCACTTATGGCAGCCTGTATACTAGGGACGGAATATGTAATGAAGCATACTGTGTTTTTTCATGTTATATGTGGTACCTATACCTGTGTTACTGTAGAGGATATCCTGTGATTGACAAAAGGGTTTTACTTAACACCCTCTACACTGATTGTGCGGTGGATCAGGATGGACAGATTCAGGGATAATTTCACAAAATACTGTACTGTTCAGATCATTAAAACTTATTAAGCCAATTTTCAACCTGACTCAAGAATGAACTACATAATATAATAAACTGTCCACATTTAGCAAAATACCGTTACAAAAAAAAATACTCAAATGTGTTCATTACTGAATGAGTCATAAAATTTTGAAAGGCAACAATGCTCTGTTTATGAAGTTTCTTAAAATTTCAAACTGTGCTGGTAGTCTCATTGCCCATCATACAGCTTTCCCTGTAGGTGATGTGCTCCTCATAATTCATAATTAGCCAATGGACTAAAAAGTGACAACTGCCCAGTATGTGTAATGACTAAACCAAACACATATTCCATGTAGCAGTAAACTCATCACCCAAATAGTGTATACACCCACTAAAAAGTTATTCGGCACCCGTGTCATATTGTATCACACCGTAAGGGTGCCAAATAATTTTTTAGTGGGTGTACACATCATGAAATGGAACACCTATATGGTGTAATCATCATAAAATCAAATGGCCACCTTGGTTCACTTTACTGAAAGCACAAGCACAATGAACTATACTCAACGTGTCAATTAATGCCCATCTTGTGTACTCATCCCAAAGTAACAAACACTCGGTTGATACCCATTTACCCATCATTTGTTCCACCCTGAAATAAGACTCTTTGTCTATGGCTTGGTAAAATGATACTGGTAAGGTGACTTTAAGATCATTTTACTGTACTTCCATCTTACTCAATATTTGACAGTAACTCTTACATTATTACTCTTTCATTCGCTATGGCAAATGTATCTTAACTTTACACCATTGCCAAATATCAGCACACTTGAAAGTGAAATATTAGCTACATAGTGTCACAATATGGACCAACATGAGATATATGCCTCCATTGTCTGGAAGTGGCAACTACACATACCTGGTAAAATCAGGCAATAATCTGAGGCAATTTTTTCCCCATCCTTCATGCAACCAAAAGTACAGTGCTAAGATTCATTATAGACTTTGTTCAAGCTTAAAATACAGGTGTGGCATCTGTACAACCTCTCATGATGAAGGAGACACCTGTACGAGACCATATCAGCTCGAGGTTGCTTCAAGCAGGAAACTGCCAGTGAACATCACATGCGAGTTGTGAAGTCGATTACGAATTACCGAGGTAATTTCATTCGACAGCCACCACCTAGCTGTAACATCCCAAGATTACAGTCATACATAACTTACACCTCACATTACAGTGACCCTAGTGTTGACAGGTTCTGCCACACCCCACCAGCGGAGCTTGAAGGATCCTGTGCGCCAGCTGATGACTGGGTTCCACACAGCATGGAGGAAGATGAAGAGTGCACTCACTTCTCGAAATAGCCAGCTAATCACAAACTCAAACTTGCTAAAAGGAGGAGGCCCATTCTGAAAAGAAAATAACATTCACTACTGATTAATGCCAAACAATTTTATTCAGCTCAGAGTGGACTGCATACACAAGGGGTGAACAACAAATAACTACAGTGCAATACTTAAAACTATCATGTATAATAACCATGTAAGGAGATGGCAGATTTGAGGTTTTCCACCAAATTATTTTATTTACAGTTCTGTATACAGTATAGCATTTGCCCTCATCAAAACAGTCTGGGCACATATACAGTAGTAAGGCAGTCGGAAAAGATGAGATGAACAACTACTTGTGGGGATAGTTCAAGCTGCCCTAGATTTCAGTTCAGCCTTAACAATTAAATTTAAATTAATGATATAGAAGTGTACAGGTATGATCCTCACAAACATTCTGCTCACTCCTTACTATAGTGAACTATTAAAACATTCCCCTCAGTTTCATTAATTATACTAATACTGTATGCTGTTTACTGACCCTTTACAGACACACACAGCATTAATGATGGTAAATGTGATGCAGCAATTTTTTTAATTTGTGAATATCAAACACATTTAATTTCATCTCTGTGTGGATCTTATTTGGCCTATCTTTTGACCTAGCCCAATTTCCAACTAAAATTAATAAGAGTTTACCTGCACAATATTGAGCATGATCCAATCAGCAAGAGACCATGTAAGAGTGTGAAACAGGAAGAAGGTGAGGTAGTCTGCATGTAACAACACGGTCGCAGCCCACGACACCACCAGTCCTAGGACCATACACTCTGTGACCGGTTCCAACACTAAGGTGTGAGGTACCATTGCTATACGTAATTTACACCATCTGAAAAAACGCAAGAAGATTGGAGATCCCTTTTCATTGATCATGGTTTGTCCTTACTGCCAAAATACAGTAAATTATGCAAGAGAACAAAATACAGATGAATGCAACACACACAACACTGACCCCAACAAATTATTTATTTACCATGTTATAAGAAAATCAACAAACAATCAATATTTCCATTGCCAATTAAGGTCAAATTACCAGAGCCCTTGCCCTTATTATGTAAATCATCTTAAAGGATCTTAACTACAGTACTTAAATAAATACACCAAACCTTGTTAATCTGGAGAGAAAGTTCTTGACTCGACAGGTCCCAGCATTTTGCCAGGCAGGCTGTGAAGCTATGCGAATACCCCAGCCTCGGTCCTGAATGTACTTGGCAAAGAAGTAATCTTCGGCCAAGTATATGCCAAAAGCACTGATACCTACAGAGTGAGAAAGATTCCACATTAAAAAAAAAATATCTGAGTCTTCTTATGTATGCAAGTGATCTTAAATACTGTGTGTACACTCACTTCAAAAAGCATCTTCATGATTTAGTGTAACACAATACTGTATGAAACAATGGACGAAGGGTTTTGACAACCCTAATGAGAGACAATGGGAGTCACAAAGTTCATTTTGAAATTCAACAGACCTCTCCGTAAAGATATCTTTTGGGTGCAGTGCTCCAAAAAACAAAATGAATAATAATGTAATCGTTGCCACACTAAACACCCAAAATGGCAACTATGGGTACTGAATTTACAAAAAAAAAAAACATTGTTTATTGCATTGTAGTAGATTTAAATATTCTTTTAAGTACAGCACCAATACTGTACATACAATTTTTAGAAGCAAAAATTAAAAGAATTGTACCCCCTCTATTGTATACACAATACAGTATTTTAGTTGTATGGTAGTAGAGTGCAGTATACAACTATACCCTGTACTCTACTCTGGCTATTTTGCCAATGTGTGACCCCTGACATGGCTCTCTGAACCTAACCACCTCCTGCAACACTCACCTCCGGCTTCATCCAGCACCTTCTTTCTCATTAAACAGGACATGCCGGTACAGCAGTTGACACCGAAGCCAAGAGCGTCCAGTAGTCCCAGGAACAGGTACATTCTCGCGTGGCCGGTCCCAAAGTAAACCTGGTGACAAGTACACACACAGTTGGTCATTACCCCCTACATTTACAGAGCTCCATGTACCCTTAGATTTACAGCCCTTGATAACTAGAATAAATCAGCAGGAAGGAGAATATCTTTCTCTTATCATTAAGTAGCTCCTATTACCTAACTATAACTATGATATTTATTATGACAGAGGTTTTAAATAATATGTATTCAATTGGGTCTTCATTTATGCGGTCAATTGAACCCGTGGAGTACCGCGTAAATGAAATAACAGAACATATGGGATTAATTGAAATAGAGACTGGGCCGACCCCCAAACTCCACTTTTTCCGACACAATACGTACCTTGTGGTCAAAATAACATCTTAATTTTATGATGGTATGCACACACAATTAATAATTAAGAGAAATATCAATAATATTAGATTTTTTAACACTTACATTAGTAGAAAAGATGGCTGGGCACATGGGGATTGGTTCCGAGGCAAAGGGCAGATTATTGGCCCTCACCTGTATCACTTGTATCAATTGTATCACTATCCACCACAGAGGCTTGCAGGGCCTCTTTGTCAAACCCCTCAAAGTCCATATAAGTCCATATCCTCACTATCATTGACTTGGGCCGGCTGTGGTGGGTGGGGGGTGAAGAACTCAGTAATGTTTTGATGACTGGGCGACCTTGTGCGGACCCTGCTCGCGCTGCTTCCCACGTAAATGACCAAATTTGACGCGTAAATCAAGCATTTCAATTCTGGCAAGGCACCGCATAAATGACAAAACACGTAAACCAAAACCGCGTAAATCCAGACTCAACTGTATACTATTGGAAAATTTAATGATATAAATGATATTAAACAAGAAATTGAAGACCCTTTCGCAACCCATGCTAAGCCAAGTGATGAACCCCCGGCAAAGACCTTGACCCTCTTCCCCCCATAGTTTTCTCCTCAGATTTGTGCAATTCATGTGGGTCGACCTGGACGTCCCCCCCCCCACCCAAAAAAAACGGAAATCCAGGAAAAAAAATCGCTCCTGATCCACCTACAGTATATGACTCATGATTGATATGTGGAATAATCCACTTAAATAAAGTAACTTAATTATAAGAACAATTCATCTGACAATAATCATTGCAGAATTAGTAGGTATAACCTGCAATATTTGGCTATTTGATTGCTAACATGAAATTGGAGTGGACTATTACTGGAATTTGTTCCAAAAAGTTTAATTACTTACCTTTTATACAATACAGCATTAATTTATGGTAAGATTGCTGTCAAAATAAGAATATTTTGAAGTTGAACTGAATTCACATAAAATTCCAGATTTATTTGTAAAATTTCCTGGCTTTCCAGGTCTTCCAGACCAGTAGACACTCTTGATATTCTATATTCTTAAGAAAATGTATATGAAGGCGATTTAAAATTTATGGACACAGTGTAATTGACTTTTTAAATATCTTAATTACCATTTATTACTCAAATTTTGAAATTGTGAACTCAGATCCTTAATCAGCATGTAAAGTATACAATTCTTCAGCAAGTACTGTATAATAATGCACAATGAAACTAAACAAATACAATAATCATCATTCTTTAACATCTCCTTCTCTCATCCTAACTCCAAACCTTCCTTCCCGTCAGTACCTTCACAACGATAAATTTTTTCTTTTACACCCCCCCCAACACTAACACTTCACCTACTACACTCTTCACCCTAATGCCACTCACCACTGCTTTACCGAACTCACAAGAGAAGGATTTTATGTCACTGCCAAAGCCTAAGGGAAGTTTATGGTAAGGATGAGACAACAAAGATATCTAAGGAGATTCTTCCAGGTTGTAGAGTCTTTAAGTTCTAAAAAATCATTACAAGCCCAAGTGTTTCAGTTATCTAGTTAAGGTCAAGTGTCATAGTCGCCAAAAATAAAATTACGATATTTATAATTTCATTGATCTGTCATTACACCATTATCTCTTCTCAGCCACAAACTGTCTTCCACCTTCGTTCCATTCATGTTGACTCGGCATTCTCAGCCAAAGACTACCACTACCCAGACTGGTTGACCTTGCTTATGGCCAACTTCTTGTCATGTTGCCAACTCAGAAGTTTTTATAACTATTTCTATTTTTAAAACTCCATACTCAGTCACTAATAATCTGGGCTTCCAACCTGTGTAGTCAAGTGTGATTGTACAGCCAAGCAGTGGTGACGTGTTGCTTAATGTGATGCTGACAAATTAATGCAACACCTCAAAAGGTCTAGACTTGGCTCACCCTGATCACCTGAGGCTACAACTGTTACAAAACACCAAACACAAGTTGTTATTATGGATGAAGACTTGAATCATCTTCAAACTTCCTACCTACTTGGACTTGACTTGATTTGAATTTATTGAATAAAAGTTGATACACTACAAGTATACTGTATACATATATAAACTTTAACTGGGAATAACACACAACATATTTGTAACATTGTGCTTATTTATCAACCATAAATAATCAAAGCCCAGTCTAGTACATGTGTCACTGAAGGTTCAAACTCTAATTCATTCATGTGCTGTACCCAGACCTCATGGCTGTGTGCTCAGGGTCACTGAACTCTGTTGCATAAGGAGTCAGTTCTTACACTTCAATGACTCAAGACAACAGCTTCTGATATGAGGACCGAGAATTTAACATGCAGAATGAAACAAAAACAAAAATCCCCAAGTCTATTCATTCTAACTCTCAGCCTTTGCCACGAGAGCTACCACCACGCTCACTCACTACACTTACCCTATGACCTCTTCCCTCCCTGACCAGATATCCCTCCTCCTAGTGACAGGCCTGGCACTTGACATTATTAGAGACCTGCCACAATTTGCCATAAACAGATAAATTGTACCGGGAATTTTCCCCCCACACACTCATCATTCTATCACTTTATGTAACTTGCTGACAAAACCCATGACCCTTCCAGCTTTTATGCCCTTAATGCACGAGTCATAAAGGCAAGCATGAACTCTGCATGCTTCCCAGATGGGCGCTGTAAACACTTCTGCACTTCACCTTGCACAGGATATAAGGGGGTGCCCAATAAACTAGCCCCCTCGGGGGCAATCTAAAAAAAAAAAAAAAAATTATGAAAACCCTAATAATAGTTCTCACATGCAACCTGTCTACATAAAAAGTAGCTACAGTATACCATAGGCCAAGATACAGTACAGTATTTAGAATATTTAAGAAGTCAATTAGGCTGTGCCCGTAAGTTTTAAATCACCTTTATACTGTATACATTTTCTTAAAAATATAAACCTGACCTAATACAGTGCCTTGATTTTCTGCATTTGGGAGTCATACCATGGGTTTTGTTCAAATTTCATACCAAAGCATTATTTTGTGCTAATTAAGTATATGTGTTCACAATTAAAAAATTTGAGTAATTAGTGTTAATTAATGACCTTTGGAATGGCGAAAGATACATACAAGAGAACACACACACCCTCGCAATTCTTTCTTTATTTCAAAGAAATTTCAGACTACAGTACAGTACATTGGCCAGAATCATGAGGATAAAGACTCCCTTCAGTCACTGCCATTCATTCGTTGACACTAAATACTACAGTTGGTAATCTGCACGGCCTTACCTTCTCCAATATAGCTGGCCAGCCCTTCCTGTCACAAGTGAAGGGCATCTGGTGGACGATACCGACGTCAGGAGTCATGTGAGCGACCATGTCGGTGAGCGTGTCCTCCTTCATGAGAAGGCTCGAGTCGGACACCATGAGCAGCTCGTGCTTGGCTGCCTGGTACCCCGGCTGCATGTTGTTGATCTTGGGGTTCACGCCCACTTCCAGACCACCTGTGTGTTTATGCAACCCAACTTTATCACGTTGCTCTCACACCAACGATCACAGGAAGCTGAGAGAGCAGACCCTCTTGCCCTAAACTAATAATGAACATAACTTAAGGTTCTCTAAAATACAGTTTAGAATATTATTAGAGAAAACCTTGGTATCTACCAGAGGAAGTATACACAGAGCTACCACACCCGACTTATTCTTGCAATAACACCACCTCCGGCTGTAAAAGCACTCTACCCCTGTAGTGTTTACAAATAAAACACACAGTATGCTACTATATTTACAAACATTTATCTCGTTCATTTTGTTTCTTCTTTGTTTTTCCTCCTTTCATTTCCTCCTTGTCTTGCTTCTTCCTCTCTTCTCTCCCTCCTTTTTTAATCTACCTGTACCTATTAATTCCCCTCCCTTACTCTCTTCTTTATATCCCTCTTCCCTCTCTTTATCTCCTGTTCTTCTTTTCCTATTTATCAACGCCCATTATAAATTCCTAGAACCACACAAATGCCCACCTCTGTATATGTGTGTGTTTGGGAGGTGGAAGAGAACCAAGTTTACATTGTTCATAGATTCTTTCAACCCTAATGCATACACAGTATTATAGGGTAACACATGATCCCTATCCCAACCAAACTCTGGACTATAGATGGGTGATGGGGTGGGTGGGTGGGTGTAGAATTTGATGGGTGTTCTAAGGGATGAAGATGGCCAAGCAGCTTATTGCCTCACCCGTGAAACAGGAAGCATCGACATGTGGGTGTTTCTTCATCAGCTGCTGCACAATCATAATGCTGGGGTCACCTTCCTCCTGCACACAGAACAGCAACTCAAACTGTGGAGACACATACAACACTCAAAATTCTGCTTACCTCCTTTCCCTCCCACATTACAGTTTATATAAAAAACATACAAGTACAGACACAGACACTGCTTCATAACAACTGAGAATTTACTTTACAATGTCTAAGAAGTTGTATAGAAAAATCATCTGAAAATGACTCAAAAAAACAAAAATGTCTTATTATTAAACTTTAGACGAAAAGCATAAAACAAGACCCCCGTTCATTATAACAACACTGCACAATAAACTTACAACTTAAAATTAAAACACATCTACACATATTTTTTGCCTTAATAATAATGACCTGCCACTACCCCTGTCTTGCCACTACCCCTGTCCAGCCATTACTCCTATCCTGCCACTACTCCTGTCCAGCCACTACCCCTGTCCTGTCACTACCCCTGTCCAGCCACTACCCCTGTCCAGCCATTACTCAGTCCACTCACCCTGTCCAGCCACTCCCCTGTCCTGTCACTACCCCCCACCACTGGCCTGTCCTGTCCAGCCACTACCCCTGTCCTGCCACTCCCCGTCCCCACCCCCTGTCCTGTCCTGTCACTCACCCCTGTCCACACCCTGTCCCACCACCCCTCTGTACCCCTGTCCAGCCACTACCCCTGTCCAGCCACCTGTCATCCCTGTCCTGGTCCAGCCACACTGTCCTGTCACCCCCTGTCCAGCCACTCACCCTGTCCAGCCACTGTCCCCCTGTCCAGCCACTCACCCCTGTCCAGCCACTCACCCCTGTCCAGCCACTCCCTGTCCAGCCACTACCCCTGTCCTGCCACTCACCCCTGTCCAGCCACTACTCCTGTCCAGTCCAGCCACTCCTGTCCAGCCACTACTCCTGTCCTGCCACTCCTGTCCAGTCCAGCCACTCACCCCTGTCCAGCCACTCACCCTGTCCTGCCACACCCCTGTCCTGCCACTGCCCTGTCCTGCCACTACTCCTGTCCTGCCACTTCTGTCCCCTACCCTGTCCTGCCACTACTCCCTGTCCTGCCACTCCCCCCTGTCCTGCCACCCTACCTGTCCCGCCACACTCCTGTCCAGCCACTCTCCTGTCCTCCGTCCTGCCCTCACCCTGTCCTGCCACTACCCCTGTCCAGCCACTACCCCTGTCCTGCCACCACCCGTCCAGCCACTCCTGTCCAGCCACTCATCCTGTCCAGTCCAGCCACTACCCTGTCCAGCCACTCACTCCTGTCCTGCCACTCACCCCTGTCTTGTCACTACCCCTGTCTCTGTCCACTACCCCTGCCCTACCACTACCCCCGTCCTGTCACTACCCCCGTCCTGTCACTACCCCTGTCCTGCCACTTCCCCTGTCCTGTCACTACCCGTCCAGCCACTACTCCTGTCCTGCCACTACTCCTGTCCTGCCACTACTCCTGTCCTGCCACTACCCCCTTCCTGCCACTACCCCCTCCCTAACGCCAGATACACGAGACCTAAGCGGGTAGTAACAGACCAGAAGTGATTACACAAACCAGTTTTTTGGCGCTCACTTTTGATGACGTCAATACCCCGCCCCTTGACCAACCACCACTACTAACCACAATATCCACATTCAACACTATTAACCACAACCACCATTACTAACCACAACCACCATCACGAAGTATAAAGGTATCTGGAGGTTTAATACCGTTTTTATAATGTAATACAACGAGGTCAAATTCGGTTCTTGCAAAATGACGTAGATAGTTTATAGTTTAATGTAGATTCCACAAGTACAAAGTGTCCCTTGGGTGTCACTGAGGAGAACTGCAGTGCACAAGGACACAGGTGAGGTTGGCAGCATCTGATCTGGCTGTAATTTAAACACTCCGCAATAAATGGGACGTCAGTACAAACACACGTCTTAGAATGTGTATTAGGATAGGGGGATGGTGGGGGTAGGGGTGCGAGGTGATGGGGAGGGGGTGGAGGTCAGGCTGTAGAGTGATGGTGGGGTTTGGGGGCTAAGCTCCTTGGGGTGTTAAAAGTAGATGGGGTTGGGGAAGGAGGTGGGGAGAATGGGGAATTACGGCATTACAGTGAGTGTGATGGGGAAGTAGAGTAGCAAAGGTAATGGTGATGTGGTAGAGGAGGAGGGGAGATACTCGGGCCAATAAGTGAAGTGGCAAAGGTGCCGACAATGATGGTGTGACTGAGGGTGACACATCATGATAACATTGTTGTGACGGCGTGAATCATCATGTAATATCACAATGATAACATAAGTGACAACTCACCATGAGAAAACTGACAGTGGATCCCAAAGGCGTGAAGACCCATTAGGAGAGACGGGGGAGTAGTGAGGATACAAAAGAGTTAAAATAGTCCTTCTGTCAGTACATAGTAGAGGTCAACATGGCCGGCACTGCACTCGACATCTTCACTCCACAAACTGTAGCGTCTGGTGCCCAATTTTACAGCTGAAGGGATTAGGGTGATCAGGGCATGAGCAGTAACCCTGAGAGAATAATCGCTGCCTCCCTTAATCATCTTTCCCTTATATAAATACAATAGTCATGTGTGTGTGGAGGGGGGGGGTAATAATAGTGACGCCATAGTGTTGGTGTTATCAGTATTGTACAACCACAACTGTTATGTAAGGGGCTGTGCCGTCACCTTTGTCTTACCATCATATTACTGTCTTTTATGTATGTATGTATGTATGTATGTATGTATGTATGTATGTATGTATGTATGTGGAGTAGTTGTGGTTGGTGCTGGACGGACCTGGACACGTGACTACACCACACGGGGCAATAGGAACACTGCAACCTCCATGACCTTGTCCAGTCTTATAGTGACAAGCACCTGACCACAACATAATGTATGTCCTGATTACAGCACACACAGCCTCATGACAGCGTACACAGCCCCATCACAGCACACAGCCTCATCACAGCATAAACAGCCTCATTATAGCACACACAGCCTCATTATAGCACACACAGCCTCATTATAGCACACACAGCCTCATCACAGCACACACAGCCTCATCACAGCATACAGGGCATCGCTACAGAGAGTTAGGTAGAGGCGAGGATTGGCTGTGGCGTGACTGCAGAATGATAGTTGGCGTGGCGAGCCAGCAGAGGGCACATGAGGCAGCTTAAAGGACCTGACGACGGCGGCGCCTGGTAGTAGTCAAACCAGTCTACCCCCGGAACACCACCAGCATCAGCAGCTAGCTCACACCCTCTGTCCGTCCGTCTATACTGGATTCTGGCGCCATTCTCACCCTCCCCCCTCACCTAAGTAACTCCCTCACCAACGTCCCTACCACCCGCCTACGCCCATACCAGTCGTCCACGCCCCTACCACTCACCTACGCCCCTACCACTCACCTACTGCGCTAAGGGGTGAGTGAGGGAAGGGGAAAGATAAGGTTGTGAGAGATGGAGGGAGGTTGTGAGAGATGGAGGGGAGTTGTGAGAGGTGGAGGGGAGTTGTGAAAGATGGAGGGAGGTTGTGTGAGATGGAGGGAGGTTGTGAGAGGTGGAGGGAGGTTGTGAGAGGTGGAGGGAGGTTGTGGGAGATGGAGGGGAGTTGTGAGAGATGGAGGGGAGTTGTGAGAGATGGAGGGAGGGGAGGTTTGTGAGAGATGGGGAAGTTGTGAGAGATGGAGGGAAGCAGAGGGAGAGTTGGGAGAGGTGGAGGGAGGGAGAGAATGTGAGAGATGGAGGGAAGTTGGGAGAGATGAGGGAAGTTGTGGAGAGGTGGAGGGAAGAGTTGGGGAGAGATGGAGGGAGTTGTGAGAGATGGAGGGAGTTGTGAGAGATGGAGGGGAGTTGTGAGAGATGGAGGGAGGTTGTGAGAGATGAGAGAGGAGGGTAGAGAGATGGAGGGAGTTGTGAGAGATGGAGGGAGTTGGGGAGAGATGGAGGGAAGTTGTGAGAGATGGAGGGAAGTTGTGAGAGATGGAGGGAAGTTGTGAGAGGTGGAGGGGAGTTGTGGGAGTGGTGGAGGGGAGCTGTGAGTGGTGGAGGGAGTTGTGAGAGGTGGAGGGAGGTTGTGAGAGAGAAGGAATGAGAGGTGGAGGGAGGTTGTGAGAGGTGGAGGGAGGCTGTGAGAGGTGGAGGAGGTTGTGGGAGAGGTGGAGGGAGGTAAGGTGAGAGGGGAGGGAAGTTGTGAGAGGTGGAGGGAGGTTGTGAGAGATGGAGGGAAGCAGAGAGATGGAGGAGGGAGCCAGAGAGATGGAGGGGAGGTTGTGAGAGATGGAGGGGAGGTGGGAGATGGAGGAGAGAGGGAGGGAGTTGGGGAGAGATGGAGGGAGTGAGAGATGGAGGGAGTTGTGAGAGATGGAGGGAGGTTGTGAGAGATGGAGGGAGGTTGTAGAGGTGGAGGGAGTTGGGAGGTGGAGGGAGTTGGTGAGAGGTGGAGGGGACAGGTGGAGGGAGTTGTGGGAGAGATGGAGGGAGGTTGTGAGAGATGCAGGAGGTTGTGAGAGGTGGGAGGGAGGTTGTGGGAGAGGTGGAGGGAGTTGTGGGAGAGGTGGAGGGAGCGGAGAGATGGAGGAAGCGAGAGATGGAGGGAGGTTGTGAGAGATGGAGGGAAGCGAGAGATGGAGGGAAGTTGTGGGAGAGTGGAGGGAGGTTGTGAGAGGTGGAGGGAGGCAGAGAGGTGGAGGTGGAGGGGAGTTGTGAGAGATGGAGGGGAGTTGTGAGAGATGGAGGGAGTTGTGGAGAGATGGAGGAGGTTGTGAGAGATGGAGGAGGTTGTGAGAGATGGAGGGAGGTTGGGGAGAGATGGAGGGAGAGATGGAGGGAGGTTGGGGAGAGATGGAGGGAGGTTGTGAGAGATGGAGGGAGGCGTGAGAGGTGGAGGGAGGTTGTGAGAGGTGGGAGGGAGGTTGTGAGAGGTGGAGGGAGTTGTGAGAGATGGAGGGAGTTGTGAGAGATGGAGGGGAGTTGTGAGAGATGGAGGAGCTAGAGAGATGGAGGGAGGCTGTGAGAGATGGAGGGAGTTGTGAGAGATGGAGGGAGTGAGTGATGGGGAAGGCTGTGAGAGGTGGAGGGAAGTGTGGAGGGGAGGGAGTGTGGAGGGAGAGCTGTGGAGAGATGGAGGGAGGTTGGGAGAGATGGAGGGAGGTTGTGAGAGATGGAGGGAGGTTGTGAGAGATGAGGGAGGTTGTGAGAGATGGAGGGATGAGATGGAGGGAGTTGTGAGAGAGGTGGAGGAGGTTGGAGAGACAGGGAGGAGGGAGGTTGGAGAGGTGGAGGGAGTTGGGGAGGGGAGAGGTGGAGGAGGCTGAGAGGTGGAGGGAGCAGGATGGAAGTTGTGAGAGATGGAGGAGGCAGAGAGATGGGAGAGATGGAGGAGTTGTGTGGAGAGAGATGGAGGGAGGTTGTGAGAGATAAAGGGAAGTTGTGAGAGATGGAGGGAGGTTGTGAGAGATGGAGGGAAGTTGTGAGAGGTGGAGGAGAGTTGTGAGAGATGGAGGGAGGTTGTGAACTTGTGAGATTAGAATGGGGTGAGGTAAGTCATCGTACTCAAGAACTATATCTCGACCATCGACATTAACACACGAAGCGACATCTTTCGACCCGACCCCCTTCCGGCATCCATTTTCATCTAGGAGAGAGAGAGAGAGAGAGAGAGAGGGGGGGGGGGAGACGTAAGCCAAAGGTTAATGCTGACAGGCTGATTCGAGTGCTGACGGAGACTGACCGAGCCGAAAACAATAACATCAAGCCTGGGAACTACCACCACCAACACACCACTACTACTACTACTACTCCTACTACTACTACTACTACTACTACTACTACTACTTCTACTACTACTACTCAATGAACACACAAAAGACAGTGGATCTTATAACCAAACCTTGTATGTATGTATGTATGTATGTCTGCTCTACTTTATCGATCTATCATGTCTGTTAGGATATGAACAAACAACTAGGCACTTCTATTTAATTGAAGGAGAGAGAGAGAGAGGTAAAGTAAACATCTCAATTATTCAGGGCAGCTTTAGGGGGTCATTTGTATCCACGTCTCTCCTCCAGGGCTCGTGTGCAGGGCATGGCTCGAGCACCCGATCAATCCTCGACCACCTTCACAATACCCCCTCCAACAGTATATATCAACTGTCTAACCTTGGAATATCGGTAACTGGACACCCTTAACCTAACTGACCTAACCTAACCTGACCTGACCTGACCTAACAGCTTGGAGCCTTAAATGTCCGAGTCAAATTTCATCTCACAAGTGGATAAATTCGTCCGTTTTAGGGGAAGGATGCTGGTGGTAGTGGTGGTTATGGAGTGGTGGTGGTGGTTATGGAGTGGTGGTGGTGGTTATGGAGTGGTGGTGGTGATGAGTGGTGGTGATGAGTGGTGGTGGGTGCCAGTCAGGTGTCATAACCGAGCTCTATTGCCAAAAGTGTCATAAGTGAGGCTCTAGTGTCAGCAGTGTCAGCCACAAGACTAACAAGGTCCTGACAAGGCTTGATTGCTCTTGATTACTATGTTGCTACACCACTGACGTACAGAGGAAGGAATCCAAGAAACAAAAGCAAAACAAGAGAAAACGAGTAATAAAACAAGCAATAAAATAAGCTGGAAAATAAGAAAAGAAAAAAAAGTAAACAAGAAATTAAATAATAAGTAAACGACAACAAAACAAGAAAGCAAGAAAGAAAGAAACCATTACAGGAAAGTAAAAACGAAACAAGCACACACACGGTACTTTATAATACCCGCATACTTTACAGCATTATATAGTTCTCTCTCTCTCACACACTCTCCCCTGCAGTAGCCTCACCTTCGGGTAGTTGAGGGTGAAGAAGGTCTCCAGGTTGGTCATGAGGTTGGGATCCATCGGGGTACCCACCAGGGGCTTCAGGATGCTCACACCCATCACGCCCTGGTCACCGCTCTCTACACTCAGCGCCCGACGATGGTGTAGCCGACGGTACCTGCAGAAGGAGTGAGAGGAGTTAGGTTAGGTGGCTCAGGTGAGGACAAAAATGGTACACTCACGCGCCATAGAGCCTCTACCGCTACTCCTGGCTCGAGGGAAGTCATAGTCAAGGCTGCAAACCGAACGATCCCTCTTGTATAGTAATGTTAAGTATAGTGATGGTAAATAAAGTGTTGTGAAGTCACTAAAAAAAAATCTGTTTCGTGCATATATTCTCATGAACTGTTATTCGTACAATTCAACAAAGCTTCGAGCTACCACTGAACGATGGGGGGTTCGGTATGAAGTTGAGGCTGCGACTTCCATCGAGTCAGGAGTAGCGGTAGAGGGTGCATCGAAACTATGGCGCGTGAGTGTACGTCTGGTTTATACAGTGACAGGCAGGCGGATGTTAGTGTAAACGATGACACACACACACACATTAAACCTCGTGTGTGTGTGTGTGTGTGTGGTTGATTCATGAAGTTAAGGTAAGGTGTGAGGGTGGAGGGATGCAGGCAGGCAGATGAGGAAGAGAAAGTAAGAATTTAGACAAGGACGTAACAGACTATCTGTCAACAAAGTGGCCACCTGTTTACAGTGCCAACACCTACACCAGCTCGCTCTCTCTCCATATTCTGATGTCTGTTAATCTTAAAGCAACACTTCAACGTACAGATTTTATATGCATAATGATTAAACTGGATAGCGACGTACATTATTATTATTAGTCCAGAAACCAGTAAATCAACTCTTCACTTACAGACAAGGGGGGTAGCAGGGGAAGAAGGGGGGGGAGGGGGGGGGGGAGGAGGGGGTGGCTACAGCTTACATAAATGATTTGGAGGGGAAGTTTAGGTAGGGTGTGTGTGTGGGAGAGGTGATATTAGCATAGGGAGGTGATAAAAGAGCCATATATGGGTAGTGGTGAGGGGGAAGGGTGCTAAATAGGGGTGAGGTGGAGGATGGTTGCAGGGAGAGGTCGGGTGAGGTGAGGGTGGAGGGGGTGAGGTGAGGGTGGAGGGGGTGAGATGAAGGAGGGGAGGGGTGAGGCGTTGAAGTTAAGAGGTGAGGAGGAAGTGAGGTGAGGAAAGAAGGTTAAAGGGATGAGGTGAGGGTAAGTGGGAAGGGTGTGGGAGCTCTGCCATTCCAATTAAACACCAACCATCACCAGACACTCAATGACACACATCTTCCCAGACCGTTTTAATAAGCCGTACTTAATATGTTAATGAATGGGGGAAGGAGGGGAGGTTAGTGGAGGAGGAAGAGGGAGGTTAAGTGAGAGAGGAGGAGCAAAGGAGGGTATGTGGAGAAGGAGGAAGAGGGAGAGTAAGTGTGGGGAAGGAAGGTGGAGGGGGTTGGAGAAGAGGTATAGAGAATCCCCCCCCCCTCCCATTATGCACTCAAAGCCACACCCACAATGCACGTAAGAATGCAGGCTTGACACACCACCACTCTCCAACCCCTCACAGAATTAGAACATACATACATACATATTTTATCATTGGACAGCGGTAATACAAGGAGAGTGATAAGAGAACTAAGCGAGGTGACGGTGGTGAGTCAGCCCGCGTCATGAGGAACAAGGGGTGTATATGCCTGAAATGGCCTGGCGTTCACCCAGGCCCCTATAGGCAGCGGCCAGTATGGGAGTAGTACATCTCAAAACACACCGAGGCTTTCTGCTCTGAGCCAGACCTGCAACACTAAACCTATTACATGTCATTATGGACGTGAAGAATATTAATTGAACAACTTCAGATGATATGCGGCTTATATTGTTACTATTATGCATTTGTCTGGTAATATTAAGAAAATGTATACATATATTATGACACTGGCCCTTCAGTTCCCTCCTGTAAATTGATTATTTGTATTTGACAAGTTTGACCGAAATAAACTGTGTTGAGTTGACGAGGCAGGTTAATGTCCTTACTGGGTCGATTAAACAAACATACATACATACATACATACATACATACATACACACACACATACATACACACACACACATACCGAGTCCCTTTATCTCACCTTATCCTCACCCCAACCCTTATCAGTTCGTATCAGACACGTTAAGGCCACCAGAGTTATATCACCTGTATTCTATTATTAGCCAGGTGAGTTTTTACTGTCAGTCAGGTAGGTGTGTGTGTGTGTGTGTGTGTGTGTGTGCCCTTTCCCTCCCTCTATCTCACCCACAAAAACTAATCCCTTTCCCTCATCACCTCCTCCTTCGACCGTCACACACACGCAATCCCCTCCCTCCCTCCCTCCCATAATCCAAGACTTCTATCAATCTGCCAATCACTCCATTTCCCCTCCCTCACCACCCCTCCCTCCTCACTAACTCTGTCCCTCACTTCTTTCCAATAAGGTAAGGTAAAGTGACGACAAGGTAAGGTAAGAGACGACAAGGTAAGGTAGAGTGACGACAAGGTAAGGTAAAGTGACGACAAGGTAAGGTAAGAGACGACAAGGTAAGGTAAAGTGACGACAAGGTAAGGTAAAGTGACGACAAGTGACGACAAGGTAAGGTAAAGTGACGACAAGGTAAGGTAAAGTGACGACAAGGTAAGGTAAAGTGACGACAAGGTAAGGTAAAGTGACGACAAGGTAAGGTAAAGTGACGACAAGGTAAGGTAAAGTGACGACAAGGTAAGGTAAAGTGACGACAAGGTAAGGTAAAGTGACGACAAGGTAAGGTAAAGTGACGACAAGGTAAGGTAAAGTGACGACAAGGTAAGGTAAAGTGACGACACAAGGTAAGGTAATGTGACGACAAGGTAAGGTAAAGTAAGGTAAAGTGACGACAAGGTAAGGTAAAGTGACGACAAGGTAAGGTAAAGTGACGACAAGGTAAGGTAAAGTGACGACAAGGTAAGGTAAAGTGACGACAAGGTAAGGTAAAGTGACGACAAGGTAAGGTAATGTGACGACAAGGTAAGGTAAAGTGACGACAAGGTAAGGTAAAGTGACGACAAGGTAAGGTAAGAGACGACAAGGTACGGTAAAGTGACGACAAGGTAAGGTAAAGTGACGACAAGGTAAGGTAAAGTGACGACAAGGTAAGGTAATGACTCCTAAATTCCTTAATCAATATGAACGAGGGACCAGCGCCGCCGCCACCACCCGCCCGACGTGTAAGTAGGTCAACCCCAACACGCCCTGCACGCCTTGCCACGCCTCCTAAACACGTCAAGCACACGTTGCCACGCGCCCCTATCTCACCCCCTTTCCCACACACCTCTCCCTTACACCACGCCCCCGCCCGTCCACACACACCCTCCAGACAGACAGACAGACACTCAGCCCAGTGCCGCAGTGGGTGTGTGCAAAGGTATAATGAGACCTGCTTCTACGGATCGACTCTCCCCATCAATACACGTTAAGGGACAAGCCTGACATATCCAACCCCTCCCCACTCCTACACCGGCCCCTCCCCTCACACCACTTCCCTAACCCCCTCCCCTCACACAGTCTCCTCCCCTCTACCTTCTCCTCCTGCCCACCCAGTCTCCCTCTTCACGCAAGTGCATGCAAACTTCGTGGTAATCACAAGACCGACAGAGAAGTGACAGGCAATCAACTGTCTGTCTGTAAGTATGCATGTCTGTATGTATGTACGTACGTTAATGTGTGTATGTGAGAAAGTATCCGTGTGTATGTATAGACATTCATGTTTTGGTATGCTTGTAGACTGTGTGTGTGGGGGGGTGGGAATGTTACAACGCCATGCCCTTCGTCCCCGTCTCTCACCCCCCTCCCCCCCTCCCAGGAAACCCATTAATATCACACTATCTCCCCCCCTCCCACCTCCTTCCTCCCCTCTCCCCTCACGCCTTCTCCCTCCCTCCTCCTCCTCCTCCTCTCACTCCGACACACAAGCAGCACCAGCAACACACTGACTTATTCTAAGAACACCTACGCGCGCACACACACACGTACACACTGACCTATTCTGAGAACGCGCGCGCACGCACACACAGGTATACACAAGCACACACTGACCTATTCTGAGAACGCACACATACACACGTGTAGACAGGTGTGAGAGACGGTGTTCAATAAGACAGGTCTATAGTACAGCTTTGTGGTGTCAGGGTGACAGACGTAAACACGACGATCACAAGAGTACTCTACCGTGGACAGGAAGAAAGGGTGACAAGGAAGGAAGGGTGACAAGGAAGGAAGGGTGACAAGGAAAGGCGTAAGTAAGGAAGGAAGGTGACAAGGAAGGAAGGGTGACAAGGAAGGAAGGGTGGCAAGGAAGGAAGGGTGGCAAGGAAGGAAGGAAGGGTGGCAAGGAAGGAAGGAAGGGTGGCAAGGAAGGACGGAAGGGTGGCAAGGAAGGACGGAAGGGTGGCAAGGAAGGAAGAAAGGGGGTGGCATGGAAGGAAGGAAGAACTGGCCCTTAGTGAGTAACGAGGGAGTGACCACCCTACCGAACGCCTAAACTGCCTTCCTGAAGCCTCCTTACTGCTAATGAGGGTCACTCTGGCACCCTCCCCTCACCCTGGCACTCTCCCTCACCCTGACACTCTCCCTCGCCCTGACACTCTCCCTCACCCTGGCACACCCTCCCTCACCCTGCACACCCCTCCCTCGCCCTGACACCCTCCCTCACCCTGACACTCTCCCTCGCCCTGACACTCTCCCTCACCCTGGCACACCCTCCCTCGCCCTGACACTCTCCCTCACCCTGGCACACCCTCACTCTTCCCTCTCCATCCTATCCCACTTCCATCTTTCTTCCATTTGTCTTTTAATCCTTCTCCTCCCCTCCCCCTCCTTCCCTCGCCTCCCTTCCCTCACAGTAAGATAGGTCGACCGCCTTATTTATCAATGTCCGCAGCCGATTGGTTACCATGTAATGTATGACGCCCGGAATGATACCACCACGCCCGTACTCCCGACCACGCCCATACTCCCGACCACGCCCGGTCACCTTATCACGCCCATGCTTCCTGATCACACCCACACTCCCAACCACGCCCACACTACTGACAACGC